CACCTTCTTAGTCCTTCGTTAAAGCCACTTTTTTTTTCAGGACACTCTTAATTCTTCATGGAAGAGATTCAATGAGTTTCTGGAAACATTCCTTCGAGTTTCAGGCCCATATCGACATGACAGTGTCACACAGTTCCTGTAGATTTGTTAGTTGCACGTCCATGATGTGACTACACCTTTTCACTATACTGTTTAAGTACAGGGAACTCATTGTCAAGTTTGAGATGATTTGTGACATGATGCTGAAAACAGCAATCAGAAGATGGTACACTGTGGTCATACAGGGACGGACATGACCAGCAACAATAGTCAGACTGTGGTGTATAAATGCTCAGTTGGTACTAAGTGTCCCAAAGCTTGCTACACCATTACAACAACACCAGCCACACTGATACGGGGAAGGATGGATCCATAGTTTGATGTTGCTTACAGCTAATGTCACAGCAAATAATTGAGACTCATTAGACCAGGCAAGTTTATTCCAGTTTTCCAATTTTTGTGATCCTGTGGGAATTCCAGTCTCAGCTGTGACAGAAATAGTACCCGATGTGGTTTTCTGCTGCTGTAGCCCATCTACTTTGTGACTTGATGTGCTGTGCATACATAGATATTCTACTGCATACCTTGGTTATAACAAGTGGTTATTTGAGTTACTGTTCCCTTCCTATCAGCTCGAGGCAGTTTGGCCAATATCTTCATTTTCACCCAGAGAACTGGATGTTTTCTGTTTTTCAGACCCTTCTCTACAAAAATCCTAGAGATGGTTGTTTGGGACCATCCCAAAGATCAGCAGTTTCTGAAATACTCAGACCAGCCTCTCCCGTCCCAACAACCATGCCACTCTCACAGTCACTGTCATATTTATTCTGATGCTCGGTTTGAACTTCAGGAGTAGACTCAGTTGTTGCCATGTGATTTACTGATTAGATATTTGTGTTAAGGAACAGCTGAACAGGTGTAGCAGAGAAAGTGACCAGTGAGTGCAGGTTTATAGTTTTTATATTGTACCTTACTTCAGTATGTAACCTTCAGTATGTAATATTGCACAGTATATACTTCAGGTGACTAATTTGATTTATGCTACAGTGTAATCAGATTCACAGCTCTTCATCATCATCATCATCATCATCATGGCCCTCTTCATTAGGCCGGTTCTGCTTTCTTCACTTTCTCCTTTATAATTTCCCACCTGCTGAGGGAATTAACTAAAGAATGATGTGACATTAAAGATAGATAGATAGATAGATAGATAGATAGATAGATAGATAGATAGATAGATAGATAGATAGATAGATAGATAGATAGATAGATAGATAGCTTTCACGTAATCTGTAAATAAATCTCCTCACTTCTTTTTTAAAACTCCTGCTCTGGTGCCTTTCTCTCATGCAGATGTGAAGATACATGAATAGGTAAAGTTCCCCATTCTAAGCTAAGTAAAAGTCTAGTAATTGCCACAAATACTGTATTCCCATATAGTCATGTGTTGCCTTTCTGCAGAGGTTATTCAGGGTAATGAATATCAAGAGGCGACGTATGACGCACAGCATTAACCTCTGTTTGATTAGCAGCGACCCAATCATCTCAGACACTGACATCAACACTCCCATGCACGGTTAGCACCTGCATAAAAGGTTTTTCAAAAATAGAACAAGTGCCGGCTTTTGCTGATGAATCCAAAAACAATGCAGCCATTATCCCCCAAACACTCTGACGGTGAATGGGGATCATGTCAAGATCTGTCGATTGCCTCATGTAAAACCACAAATGGCACTGCAACTGCTATCTGCTGCGGGGTTGTTTATCACTGCGGTAATGACGGTTGATGAATGTTTTGATGGAATTTTAGATCTGATTCATGGCCTGGTGACCACATTGATCGGTGGCATTAAAGGTACAGTTGTGTTTCAATATACACAAGAAGGTTGCTGTGCCACCAAAATTCAAAACAAAGGACTTTAACCTCCTCTCGCTACTAAATTGATTTACATGTCTTTTACAGTAATAAAGGGTCTCTGTAGTGACTAAAATGATTAATTTCTCTGATGCTGAAAGTGTTATTGTTATATATATATATTATATATGTATTATATATGTATATATATGCCAAGAGAGCTTCACAAATTACAGCAAATATAACACATATGAATATCACAAGTAAAGAAAAGAGCAACAAGTTGCACCTCAACCAGATTCTTTGGTAGTCATCAACACACTCCTGGCATTATTCTGGCTGGATATTTGACTACTTTTCAGTTGCCAGGAAGTAACAGTTGGCAGCAATTCAACGAGACAAAGAATTAGACTAGACTGATGCTTTAAGTAGGCATGTGAGGTAATATGGGAACCTCCAGAGTACACAGTTAAAAACTAAACACAGTTAAAACTAAACAGCCATAGTAAGACAAGGGAGCTAAAATCCAATGCATACAAGAGAAGCGCTACCAAAAAATCCCCAAAAAACAGGATGTATGACAAACAGAAAAACACCTACCACAGAGACTAAAATATGGCAACATGATTGAGGGAATAAAGGTGAAATAAATGGAAAACTTGAAGCCTAAATTCTAACCTATGAAGAAACTCAAAAGATATTCTTCATAAGCCTGTCGTACAGGAAACCATTAATCTGAGTTATTATTGGTTTTTCACAAACTGCTTTTGCAGTTAAATGAGCAGCTTCTGGCTTAATTGGTGTTAAATAAATAATAGCATGGTCTAACAGGTCATGTTCTGTAGTTTATCTGAGGTTGTAGTCTTCACATTTTTAAGATCTAATAAGGAATAGATTATTTGTCTTATGCCCTGAAACATAAACCATTAAAACTAAAGGACTGACTGTACATAATATAACCAGAAAGAATGTAAGCTTCATTAATATGTAATATAATGAAATAATGATGCAAATATTATTAATAATAATAACAATAAGAAGAAGAATTATTGATGAACAACAATAAGACAGAGGGTCATTTTATCCAGAGACCAGGCGAGCTACACTTCTCTTAATAATATCTGAATGTAATCCAAAATATTAATACAAGCTGGTTGTTCCGAACTGTTTGAGCCTTTTCTCTGAGTTTCTTAAAGAATGTTTCAAGAATTTGTATCTTCAAATGGGGACTTAGGTGGACACATACATGGTGCATAAGAGATCTTCATTATATTATATATTATTTATTTGCAATCACAAAAAACAGGGTACAAAACTCAGTCTGTCTCCAAACAATGACCTCCACCCTGTTTCAGTACTATGGACAGATCTCTTCTGAACAAAACAAACAGTGCTGTCCTTGGTTCTGAAATCTGAAATATACCCTTTATTGTTGTTGATTTTAATTTTGTTATTGCTTCTTTGACTGTCTTTCTATTTACACAAAAAGATTAAACAGAGAGGTAAAAAATATGGAAGCAAACACTAACAATTAAACGGAGAAGTAAAATGTATCCAATAGTACTGAGCAAAAATTTTGAGGCACCCCATATTTCTTTACATGTTGCACAGAAAATTAGAAACATTTATTGAAACATGTCCAAACATAAATGAAAATACAGTACATCTGCTCTAGTTTTTTGGGCCTGTCACTACTTCTTTTCTTTTCTTCCGTTTGCCCAGCTTTCCCCTCCCTTTAAGAGCATATCTCAGGACACCATGCTGAGATATGCACGTTTCTGTCTAAAAGCTAAAAAAAAAAAAAAAAGGAATACGT